ATAATTACCTGTGTGTAGGAACACTATTCAGAAGAACCAAAAGCTAGCGAGCTGCTATTGCTTGCCCGGGAATGAGCTTCCTCTGCTGGTGAGGCCTATACTCACCATGACCACCAGCAGCAAGCTAAACATTGAACAATTAAATATAGAATGCATCGATATTCTAGAAGGAGCCCTAGAGATTGTACAGTATCTTATCTTTGCCTTGCCACAGATGAAAGGGAGCTCAAAGGCAGAGTTGTCACTGGCACTTTATCATGGAGTGTCTGTGTGCTGATGAGAACAGAGACTCAGACCATTTGTTCTCTCGTTGACACTCGAGTATGGAGACCGTTCATCCTGGAGGTACTGGTGTGATACTTTGCATGTCACTCAGAATTTGTACTCTTTCATTCTTTGTCCTCTGTTGTGGACGTTTTCCTGAAGCAGCCGTAGGCATGCATGAGTCCTAGTGAACAAGAGTTATTGTGATGGGCACGAAACAAGAAAGAAAGAGTAACAGAAACAAAGAATAGTCCTAGTAGATGGTGATGATGATGATGACTACGACTGTGACGACGGGGACGGGCTACTAGCGGTGCGACTGGCGATGGCTACAGACAACAGCAACGGCAGCGAGGGTGATGGCGACAGACGATAACGATGAAGACAACGAGGACGAAGATATCAATTGGACATCATATGTTTTCTTTAGAGAAAGGTCTGGGTCTGTTCACCCTGAGTCCAGTTTTATCCAGTTATTTTCTTCCCTGCCATTGAATTGTAAGCGTTCATTATAAATTTTGAGTATAACTCCGTCATCAAATATGCAACCTGGAAATGTTTTCCTTACTCTGTAGGCTCCTTTTCCATTTTGATGCCTTTCGGTTTGAAAGCTATTTAGATTGACATACTGTGTACTCTTGATTTTGTCCCAAGACTTTGATGTGATTTCTCAATGATTTTCAAAGTGAGTACCAAGGACATCTTCTTCCATGTTCTTTACAAGGAAAAACATGGGTTCAGATCTCATCTTTAGATATTTCATATATTTGATTGGTATTTAAAATTTTATTGTATTTTATTTCATTTTATTTCATTTTATTTGCACACTGTCAGATAAAGACCAAATGCTGCATGAGGGAATTCATTATCTGAGCACTATCTGTTTAACTTTCAGGCACCATTACTGAAACTTAGCCTGGTGTATTTGTTTAGCTTTGTTCTCCAGGCCCTGTATTATTACATCATTAATGTACACACTGCACTGTAACTCTCTTCATAGGACAGGCTTATGACTTTAAATCAGAAGGTGTCAGGGCCCCACTTTGTTTCCATGCCCAGTATTTATTAGTTGTGATGTTTTAGTCTTGTTGTCAACTCACTTGGTACAGGATCATGAAAGACTGATGATTGTGTCCCTGAGTATTTCAGAGAGGATCAGCTGACAGGGAAAGACCCATGCTGAATGCAGGTGGCAGGATCCACAAGCTGGAGACCTGGATCCTGTAGAAGAGGAAAAGGCAAAAACGCTGGCAGCAGCATGGATGTCCTCAGAACCAGGCGAGGACATGTGCCCCTTCCTGAGACTCAGACCACCTGCTATTTTGAGTAAACCTATGAAGGCAATACAGATAGATGTCTTGGGGTCCGGGTATTTGGGACCAGGAGACCCTCTCTTTAATCTGTATAGAAGTGGATACACAGCCTAAATGCTTTATTAAAGTTTCCTTTAGTATGTCTCTAAAAGTGATTGCCTTCAGAACAAAAGGAAACAATGTAACAAACCTGGGAGGTTATTGTAAGTTTTGAAAGGTTTTCATACAGTTCCTTAAATTTCATGCACTTCAGAAATGGGCACTTTCCTCTGGTCTTTACTTCCTTATGAGTATCATAATCCACAGCAAGAGTTAAAACAGTGCAGAAGTTTCTAGAATGTCTTTTGACTTTTTAACCTATTTAAAATATCCATGGCTTTCATGTTCCTCTTTACAAAATTAGGAGTAATAATTATTCCAAATGAAAGCTGCCAATTCCAGTCAAAATGCCTTAAGCTTACACAGTAAGCAGTCCTCTTTCACACACACAAAAGACAGAGAAATTGTCAAAGAACAAAGAAGGAGGTAGTTATAAAGACAACAAATGAGCAAAATAAACATGTTTATATTCAGTAAGAACTTTTGACAAATTATGAAATAGAATAATAAAATGGCATACTTATTTGAGAAAATAACATTTTTATTTTTTCACCATATAATTAAAACCATCAAATTTGATGTTTCTGTTTTAATTCATATACCAGATGCTCCTATGGACTTTTGGAAGTAAAAAAAAAAAGATCATTAAAATTATTACATGAAAGTTATTACTTTTTGTAGAATCTATGAAAATATGTAATGACATGTAGTTAAGTCTCTCATCTTACAAGCAAGAAGAATAAAAATTTTAGTGTTTTGAGAATTTTTTTCTCTCATACTTAGTAAATTTCTCACTGAAGCTCTTAGAGGACATTTATGACATCTCTCTGGGGAATATAGGGAAATTTTGGGGACAGCAAGGGCACCATCCCCACCCACCATAGCAGCTCACAGACCTCTGTGCTGTGACTCACTGCTTAGATAGAATGACTCCACTGGTCAATAACTCCCCTCCCCTTTACTCGATATTCATTTCTCAGGCTGCCTACTCTGTAAGTCTAATATAAGAAACACAGAGGCACAGAGGCCAGAGGCAGCTCTTCCTGGAAGGCAGTTAATCACTTAAAGCTGAGACTTGTCATTTCAACTCTGATCTAAATTTAAGAGGCCCCTCCCCTTCACCTATGTCACATCAGCCTTTACCAAAGAACCACACGTGGGGAAAGCATATGTTCCAGGCCCTGAGAAGAGCTGGTCACAGTGTATGGACACAGCACAGTCCATGTAGGACATGGGAAGGAGTTCAGTTGGGGATAATTACTATATCATCCCCAATTCATCTAACTGGATGCCCTCAATGAATCAGAGCCAAGTGGAGTCTGACTTATGAGGAGCACTTCTGTCTCTGTAAACTTCAAGGTTGTATGGGTGTGGGCCATAGTCCTGTGTCATCAGTGTGTGTGTGTGTGTGCGTGTGTGGGGGGGCATACACAGATGTTTATATTTGTGACCTCTGAGTGAATGGTTAGTTCTGAACTTGGAATGGTTTGCTTCTGTGAGGCAGGGTATTTAGTAATGTCAGAGAGTGATAGCGCAGTGGCCATGTCCTGGTGCTGTTAACCTTTACCTGCTGAGGTTACAATGCTACTGAGTACTTGCCGAAGCAATCCTAGTAAACTGGTTCCAGAATTTTAAGGGGATAGGCTGAGAATCCCTAATAATTCCCTAAGGGTTTTGTTGTTGTCGTTGTTCATTTGTTTTTAATGTTTCACAACAACTTGAAAATGCTTCAAACTTAAGCCTGTTTAACTCAAGATCACTGGGCAATTGAGAGAGCCCTTAGCCTGTGTCCTGGCTGGACAGCGCCCTGACTGATGCCATCAAGAGCTACAATATATTCTTACTTTTAGTGCTTTCAAGTAGATGCTAGGTCCTGTCTTGCCTAAATATTTCCATGCACAGAGATTAGTGAGCTGGGAGTTGAAGCTGGTTTCACTCACCATCAACAAAAACAAATAAAGCAGTTAATTTCTGCCCTATATTTTCATAATAGCAATCTCATTCTCACCATTGTATCTTAAATGAAAATTCTAAAGATGTTTTATAACAGCCTCCTTTCCAATACCACTGAGTGTTTAAAAACATAGGTCATAGGCAAGAGGAAAACTAAGTGTAAACCAATGGACAAGCATCTACCATCACTACTTGGCTCCACATGGCTATCCCAAATGATCTCCATGTCTGTCATTTCGATTCTTCATGTGGGAGAACTCAAGGTTTAGAAATAGTGAAGTGCTTGCTTACAAAGCAAGACACACAATCTCTGTCAGTTTCTATGATATCTGACCACGGTTCTATCCCGTGACACCCTGTCAGGTAGTCACCAGCCATTGGAAGACAGTGTGGCTTTCTATTCTACCGGTAGGTTTTCTACCATTTTCATTTTCTTACTTGGTTTTGCTCTAGAGTCTCCACAAAAGGAGCCAAGAATTCCAGAATTTATAGCTCTACTGGGAAGGCCTCAGAGGCCTCAGAAGCAAATGCTCGAAAAACATGAAAGATCCCTTCAGATCCTCAGAAGGGTCCAAGGGTAAGCCTTAAAGGCTAAACTTACTTCCCATTTCCCTGTTTAATCAGAGGGCAGCATAAATGCACCAGGGTAGAGCAACCGCCTGACATGCATTCCTTAATTGTGACAGACTTACAAACAAGCTCTAATATACCAGCATTAGCACCCTGGTTTCCTCTTCGATTTTACTTGGATTGGTTCTGTAAGAGTTAAGTGTTTTCTGATCATCGACTAGAAGCCCAGATAGAAACCAGAAACAGGAAAGGAAACTCATTGCCTTTAAATAGAAGTGGTTCCAGTTTCGGTTTACAAGCCTGAAGGGTTGTTGTACATATTAAAATTGTTGCAGAGCTCACTCCTTGGCCACAGAATCTCCTCATCCCATCCAACACCCCCCACACACACACCACCACCACCACCACTGAAGATGTTAGTCTCTGGGGAAAGCAGTTAGGAAAGGATGTCTTTCAGTGGCTTGTACTCGAAGGCGCTGGCTCTTCCATCCCTGCATACAATATCATTAAACTTAGGCTCAATGCCAGAAGCTGAGCCTTCTGCCTCTTTTCATTGGCGTCTACTTTATTGATAGCGAAATAATACTGCATGGAACTAGTTGGCCACGTAGTGGGAAGTCAAGTCTTCTAATACCTCGTTTGTCCTAGATAATTTTAAGCTTTATCCAGAGTGCACTGCCAAGAATGTTAAATGAAGTACACAAGAGGAGAGCTTTAGGTATCTGGCATCAATATTAGTGGGAGGCTGCCATTTGACAATAATTTCCCTAGCACAGCAGACGGTAAAGAAAAATGTTTTCATTCATCCGCAAATGACTAACATTTTATTGATGTTTCGAAATGCGGCTGAATACTACCGCACTTTCAATTCCCGAGCGAGTTCTGAGAATTAAGCCTGAATACTAATCACATCAGTAGTTCCTGCTGCAAACCTCTCCTTTAATTGCTGAGCCTCGCAGGGAATCTTCTGCAGGGTAGAGATGTTGCTTAGAGGCTCTTGGATAAGTCAGTCTGGGTGGTCCCGGCTGATGTGCTGCCCTACCCCATGTGGAATTGCTGGCCCTACCCCATCTATCCTTAGACACTGTGATAAATAAAAATAAAAAATAAAAAGCCACCCGGGTTACCACCAACAACTATGACTCCTGCCTGCCTCATCAAGAGCTCAGTCTGGAGAGGAAGCCGGATGCTGACCCCTGCAGAGATTCTTGCTTCAGTGCTCTGCCGTGGGGTCCCTGCTCCAGTTCAGAAAAAAGAGGGGGGGGGGAGTTCAAATGAGCACCAGTGAAAGATGAATGTGTTTTGTAAATACCGCTACAGGCGGAAGATAGGGGAAATCAAGTGGGGAGGGTAAGTTATTTCTAATCACCAGCTTCCCAAACTCCTCGCGGTCACTGGAACCACTGTTCTGGATTCAGATTCTCTCACTGATTTGCAAATAGCCTGGAAGAGCTCTGAAAATGAGTCTCATAAGGGAAGGGAGCGGGGAATAAAGAGTGGACTATGGGGTGACCCCTTGCCTTGTACTCTGTTTTGCCCTGACCTGGGCGTCGGCTAGCAGGTTCGCCGGGCACTGCTTGCAGCTTGAGGGGTTGAGGTTACTGCTCAGAGGATGCAGGTCCACCCCAGCTGGGAGACAGTGGGGAAAAAAATACAACTGGGACTCCTTAAAACCGAGGAATGCCTCGGATTCAGCCGAATGCGCGAGACTTCCGCCCAATAGAGGCTCAAATGGGTTAAACTGCCTCTTACATAACAGGACCGCCTAGCTCCACACAATTAAAACACTGATTGCAGCCTCCTCCAACTCTGCATCCCAGCAAGGCCCGCCCATCCCTCCCATTGCGCCTGCGTGTCGCGCGCTCCCGGGTCCCGCACGCGCCCTGCACACTCCATCTCCTTTTCACAAGTGCACACTCTGTGCTGACACCACACGCGCACACACACTCATGCGCAAGTTAGTACCAAGACGCACAGAGAAGGACAGGCGTTCTCCAGTCCGCACAGGCGGACTCACACGCACTTGCTTTCGGTTGGCAGACCCGAATCTCTGTACTGTCCCCGCAAAGCAGCAGCGCCGCCACAATCCCTGCTCATCTCCAAAAGAGGGTGAAAAGACATACCCCCCACTAAAGAAAAATAAGGAAAGGAGGGAAGGAAAGAGGGA